ACTTAAAATCAAAAAGGTGGCAGAGCAGCTTTTAAACTGAATATTGGGGGAAAGCCGACAGGAGATGAAAAGTCTCTGGTTCGGGTTGGCTCATCTGAGAGAGGTGAGGGGGTACCGGTTGCTTTTCTACAGGGAGGTGGATTGAAATTGTCCACAGAGGCCATGGCTGGTGACATGGACTGCCGGACAACGACTCGAGATAGCAAGAGGAAGGATGCAGGCTTAACTTGTAAGGGAAATTACAGCTGTTTCTATACAAATGCTAGAAGTGTCCGAGGTAAAATCGGGGAGTTGGAGTGCTTGGTGTCGGAGGGAAAAATAGACATTGTGGGTATTTCTGAAACTTGGTGGGATGAGGAAAATCAGTGGGACACAGTGATTCCCGGTTATATATTATATCGGAAGGATAGGGGGGGAAGGGTTGGAGGTGGGGTAGCTCTGTATGTCAGAGAGGGTATAAAGTCTAGAAAGATTGAGAGGCTAAGTGAATTGGATTCGCTTCTGGAAGTTCTATGGGTTGAAATAGGGGGGCCAAAAGGAAACTTAACACTGGGAGTTTGTTATCGCCCACCAGATCAAAAGATAGAGGAGGATTATAAAATGATGAATGCCTTAAAGATAGCAACTAGACAAAAACACTGTGTAATAATAGGTGATTTTAACTACCCACACATTGATTGGGTCAATATGTGTTCTAGTCGGGAAAAAGAGATTGAGTTTCTAGACACTCTAAATGACTGTGCTATGGAGCAGATGGTCACGGAACCTACCAGGGGAGAGGCGATCCTTGATTTGGTCCTAAGTAACACTCAAGACCTGGTGAGAGATGTAAAAGTGATTGCACCGCTTGGAAACAGTGATCATAATGTTGTTGAGTTCATCATTTGTACAAATAGAGAATTGGCCAAAAAGACTCACACAACCATTTTTAACTTTAAAAGGGGTAATTTCTCTGATATGAGGGGACACGTGGGGAGGAAACTGAAAGGAAAAGTAGAAAGGGTCAAAACAATTGGGGAAGCTTGGGATCTATTTAAAACTACGATCCTAGAAGCTCAAAAAATATATATTCCGCAGGTTAGGAAAGGCACAAACAGGTATAGGAAAAAGCCTGCATGGTTAACAAACAGAGTAATGGAGGCTGTAAAAAGTAAAAAGAATTCCTTTAAGCAGTGGAAAGCTAGTCACAGTGAGGCTGATAAAACGGAACACAGGCTATGGCAAATAAAATGCAAGTCTGAGGTCAGGCAGGCAAAAAGGGAATATGAGGAGCATATAGCAAAAAACGTAAAAACCAACAATAAAACTTTCTTCAAATACATTAGAAACAGGAAACCAGCCAGGGAGGCAGTGGGGCCCTTGGACGACCAAGGGGTAAAAGGAGTATTGAAGGATGATAGGGAAATGGCTGAGAAGCTAAATGCATTTTTTGCCTCCGTCTTCACTGTGGAAGATGAGAAGTGCTTGCCCACTCCAGAACCACTGATTTCAGGAGGGGTGTTGGAAGACCTGAGTCAGATTGAGGTGATGAGAGAGGAGGTCCTAAAACTGATAGACAACTTAAAAACTGAAAAATCACCAGGCCCAGATGGCATACATCCGAGAGTTCTGAAAGAACTCAAATGTGAACTTGTAGATCTCCTGACAAAGATATGTAATCTTTCCTTAAAATCTGCCTCCATTCCTGAGGATTGGAAGGTAGCTAATGTCACTCCCATCTTTAAAAAGGGTTCCAGAGGAGATCCGGGAAATTACAGGCCAGTCAGTCTGACGTCGATACCGGGTAAATTGGTGGAAACCATTATTAAGGAAAGAATTAGTAGGCACATAGATGAACAAAACCTATTGAGGCAGACTCAGCACGGTTTCTGTAAGGGAAGATCTTGTCTCACTAACCTGTTAGTGTTCTTTGAGGGGGTGAACAAACATGTGGACAAGGGGGATCCAATAGATATTATTTACCTTGACTTCCAGAAAGCTTTTGATAAAGTTCCTCATCAAAGGCTCCTAAGTAAGCTCAAAAATCATGGGATAGAAGGACAAGTCCTTTTATGGATCAAAAACTGGCTAGTTCATAGAAAACAGAGAGTGAGTGTAGGTGGGCAATTTTCTCAGTGGAGGGTGGTAAGCAGTGGGGTACCGCAGGGATCAGTACTTGGTCCACTGCTTTTTAACTTGTTCATTAATGATTTGGAGATGGGAGTAAGCAGTGAAGTGGCTAAATTTGCGGATGATACAAAGTTGTTCAGGGTGGTGAAAACCAGTGAGGATTGTGAGGCACTCCAAGGGGATCTGTCAAGGATGGGCGAGTGGGCGTCAACATGGCAAATGGGGTTCAATGTGGCCAAGTGCAAGGTGATGCACATTGGAGCCAAAAATCCTAAATATAAATACACATTGATGGGGTCTGAACTGGCAGAGACTGAGCAAGAGAGAGATCTTGGAGTTGTAGTGGATAACTCACTGAAAATGTCGAGACAGTGTGTGACTGCAATAAAGAAGGCCAATGCTATGCTGGGGATTATTAGGAAGGGTATTGAAAACAGATCAGCCAATATAATAATGCCCCTATATAAATCAATGGTGAGACCTCATTTGGAATACTGTGTGCAGTTCTGGGCACCACACCTTAAAAAGGATATTATAGCTTTGGAAAAAGTGCAGAAAAGGGCAACTCGAATGATAAAAGGGTTGGAACACTTTCCCTATGAGGAAAGGTTAAAGCGCTTAGGGCTCTTTAGCTTGGAGAAAAGACGACTGAGGGGTGACATGATCGAGGTTTATAAGATTATGCATGGGAAAGAGCAGGTAAAGAAAGAGGTACTTTTCTCCCTTTCTCACAATACAAGAACTCGTGGGCACTCCATGAAACTGCAGAGCGGTCGGGTTAGAACGGATAAAAGGAAGTACTTCTTCACCCAAAGAGTGATTAACACATGGAATTCACTGCCACAGGAAGTGGTGGGTGCTACAAGCATGGACGGCTTCAAAAGGGAATTAGATAAGCATATGGAGCAGAGGTCCATCAGTGGCTATTAGCCACAAGGTATAGCTAGGGGCTCTGGGGCAAGTGATGCTCTGTCTTCTTGGTGCTTGGGGGGGGTCAACAGTGGGAGGGCTTCTAATGTCCTGGCCCCACTGCTGGACCTCCTGATGGCACTGGTATTTCTGGCCACTGTGTGACACAGAGTGTTGGACTGGATGGGCCTTTGGCCTGATCCAACATTGGCGTCTCTTATGTTCTTATGTTCTTATCTGAAATGGCAAATGTTTGCATCTGCAAAACAATGCCCCAGTGTTATGTCTGAGCCAATCTGCAGCCTTCATGGTTCTTGCAGTTGATGAAGCTCTTGCAGATAAATGCACTGAAATTTCAAAAAAAAAAGTCAAATCCCTCCTAAATTCTGTGCACAGACTGTAAAGAGCTGCCAAGTAAGTTTGCAGCTACCTGTTGATCAGAAGCCGACTCACAGCTGATTGGGGGATTCTCCTCCTCCTCCTCCTCCTCCTCCACCGCCATCACCCTTCTGCAAAACAGCTGCACAAGGTATAAGAGAAAAAGCTAATTTATCCTCCTTTTGTTTCAAGATGGGCAGGGACAGATACAGTGCTTCTTCTAACCTCTGCATTGCAAAAGGGAGAGGTAGAAGAGCTCCTGTCTCTTATCCCCTTCAAGATGATTGAGGTCTAAAGTGATGTTTTTGAGCTCCCTCTTGTAAAAAGAAGAAGAGGGAGCCCTCCATTCTTTCCTTATTCTGTGTAGCCCAAGGAGACAGTGTGGAGTATGGGAAAATCAGCTAGTTTTCTGATCAACCCTCCCTTCCCACTAAATGTGCTGCATCTCAGCAAGTCTGGAGGGGAGGCAGCAAAATTTCAAGGATGGGAGATCAGCAGAACCCCACTTCCACCTGATCAGCTGAGAGTTGGCTCTTGACTCGCCCCCCCCCAAAAAAAAAACTTTCCTGGGTAGAAAGCAGGAGATCAGAAGCCAAACCCCAGATGATTCTTCTGATGACTACAAGGTAGCCTGTTTCTGCAAGTACACATGACATGAACAGGTTGTCAACAGCCAAACAGCCCTTTAATTAATTGGCTGCCTGATCACCAGTAGTGGATGGGAGGTAAGCCAAACTGGCAGGTGTTGGAGCATCCCTACTTTTTTGGACAACATTAGAAGGGAGGTTGAAGGCTGCCGACGAGGGAAGAATGCCCCCCCCCCCGCATGTGCAGATCTTTCTGACAGGATCCAACCCAGTGCTTTTATTATCCCCCTTGCCCATGTATTCCTGTGTTAATGAGGTATGGAACACTGGTGCACTGAAAGAAGAAGAAAATCAACATTTTGTCTAATTTTAAAATATTTCTTCCTTAGAAACTATTTTTATTCTGCACAGGCAATTAGGTGGTTGACTACTTACAAAATCTAATTTAATGCTAGACTCAAGCCAAAGAAGTACAGCTTATCTGCCTGGCATCTATCATTTGCATGGCTTTTAAATTCCAGTGTGAAATAATGTGGCTGCACCCAAATGTCAAGGAATGAAGCAAGCATTTAAGCACAGAAGACAGAGGAACAGTTTGTGCGTCTCTCACAGGCGTGATTGCTGGAGGTTGCCACTTTGGCCCTCCAAACCTTGAGATGTGTTGCTTGCAGTGGTTTGGAGGTTCTTCTTTGGGTAAACTTGAAAACAAGTCTTAAATGGCCTCTGTTTCATACAGTCCTTTGGAAGCGCTGCCCTTCATAGGGTGTAAAAAGCTGTGCCAATGGCAGAATAGTGATGGCTAGACGTTCTCGTTTTCCTATACTGCAGAAGGCTGACATTTTGCTTTCTAACGTTTCTTTGTATGAATGGGTTGAGAGTGGGGGGGAAAGCTCATGTGCGTGCTCTCCCCCCCCCCTTTTATAAACCAGCCCTCAGCTCTCTGACATCACAGTCCCATAAGGAGGCAGAGAAGGAATTTGATTTCGATGAGCTAAAAAAAGAAGCCTTTGTAGCGGGGAAAGGGAAGCACGCTTTTGCTTCGGAGGTTTGAGGCTCCAAATGAGACAAGAGGTAAGGCGCCCCCCCCCCCCGGCCCCACAACACACACATACACACACACTATAGACGCTGTGGGTTGTCCTCCTGTTTAGCATTTTAGTTCGAAAGAGTGGGTTTTCTGTTGAAGTCGAAAGACAGACTAATTGAGGGTTTAAGGAATTCATAGCTCTCGTGTGTCGGAAACTACGCATAGTGCAGTAGCCAGCTGCATTCTCCCTCCCCCCTTTGATAACCAAGTCAGTTTGCTCCTGTCCCAAGCAAAAGGTAATAAATGTGATGAAGCAGGGGTACAAGGGGTGAAGACGCTTCCCATCTGTACAATGTATAATTTTCAGAAGCAGCTGACTATCTTAGCTGGAACCTTTTTGCTAAATGATTGCAGAGCTGTTCTCTAAAATTGTCTCATTCTCTTGCTGCAGTGCAGCTTAACCTACTCGGAGGTTATATGTAGGCTTGTGCTGGTTTCGCTCCCTTTTTTTGAGAGGCTGTTGTAAAATGCAACTTACACTTCTGAGTGGCAGAGTTTTTCTTCTGTGTAGATAGACAATGAAGAAACTGAATGGTAGTAGCTTGGTTTGGGCACAAAATGTTTCTAGTGGGGTTTGTTTCTCTTTTGCATTTGGTCTCTCTCACTCTCTCTCACTCACTCTCACTCTCTCTCTCTCTCTCTCTCTCTCTCTCTCTCTCTCACACACACACACACACACACACAATAATGCACCCACCAGTGTAGTAACTGTTTAAGCCGTCATATCACCATTATCAAAGCCTCCTTTATATTGCTTTGCCACTTAATTTTGACATTAGAACGCTGTTTAGGATTATTATTCCAGGTCCTTGTTATAACCACTGATCATCTTCCTATGAAACTTTTGTTCTTCCCCATCTCCCTTTTTAAAACTGTATTTTGCATCTTTAGTTGTTTGTCATTCTGGTTATGAGAGTTTAAATAGTATGCATCTCTTTAGGAGCCACAGTATATAATGCTGATATTTGGCAAAGTATAGTTGTTTACTATATTCTTCTCTTATCATCACTTTACTCCGATGATTCCAATGAAACAGACATTATAGCACATTTGCCTTCCTGCTCGAGTATATGTTCCTTTGGGGGTGGGAGGGAATGGATCAGACTATGTTTCAATTTCATATAATACTGATCACTTACTTGAGACTTCAGACTATCCCAAAATTTTTAAATAGTTACTTAGCAATATATTTGGAGGGGTTCTCTCTCCCCCCCCCAATAATCTTTTCTGTTTAGGGCAACATTGAGGTATCCAGATGTGATTTCACTGGTGGCTGTTTTTCCAGCAGGAAATGGGGAACCTTGGCTGGGGGAAAACAAGAGTGGGAGGGGAGTGGGTTGAAGATGGGAATGTCTTATTCATTAGGATTCCTTCCATGTCTTTTGTCCATAAAAGGAGGAGGTGGGAAATTTCTAAGTCATAACTCCAGTGAAATTAGCTAGACGGGGAAGAGTAATAAGACTGTGAATAAGAAGAAGCATAGTGAAATTACTAACAGTTTAGACTCACATGGTAGGTCATATGTTGTAACACGGAAACAGCGATGGCATGTAAAGAATTTGCCAGCATTCTGTTATAGCTCTACTTGCAAGAGGAAATTCGAGGCTATTCTTTCCGAACCTTCCCACTGCCATCTGAGTAGTATATATATATTTTGTTGGTTTCACCTAGTGGCCAGGATCTAAAGAACCATGGAGCTCAAACCCATACTTTAGCCTTGTCTTTCTCAGCAACCACCCCCGCCCTTCAAGCCCTCAGGTTCAAAATACTTTTGAAATTAAAAGATTCAAAAGCAGTTTGTGATGAAGAGCAGTGAGCAAAAGGGGAGAACCCCACTGAGCAGCCATAAGGCCTTTGCTGTAGCTTTTTAGGTCCCAACCAATGCAGTTAGTGCCACTTTTAGAGGCTCTCCTTTACTTGTTTTGTTAGAACTTCAGCTAGATACGATAGCAAAGGCTGCACATTTCAAAACATGGAACTGCCCTTAATCATGAAAAAAGAGGGGTTGGCAAAACAACTGCACAAGTGAGAAGTGCAAACTCTTATCTTTGCTTTCAGCTTACCTCTCTGAAGCACCAGGCGCTTTTCTTCCCTCTGGGACCCTGATGCCAAAAGTGAGCCTAGCCACAAGAAAATCATTTGGAAAATGCCCAGGCAAGCCCGATCTCGTAAGATCTCGGAAGCTAAGCGGGGCCGACCCTGGCACGTACTTGGAAGGGAGACCTCCAAGGAATATCAGGGCCAGGATGCAGAGGCAAGCCATAGCAAGCCACATCTCTGAAATGTCCAAGCCCCACCAGAGGTCGCCAGAAGTCAGCCATGACTTCCAGGCACACACACAGAGTCAGAGACAGACACACGAATACTCACCAAAAAAAGAAAGAAAAGAAAATTGTTTGGGGTGGGGGGGGGTATAGCTCCCCTTATCAGAGCCCCATTTTTGCTTCTGAACTTGGATACTGCAACCTCCTGCAATGCATGATGGTGCCAGTTCTGTGTTTAAATGCACAAAACTTCCACAATTTGAATTCTGAACATTGCTCACTATTTGTACTTTTGTGCAGTTAGGAGGGCTGTCGGGTTAGTTAAAGACTTGACATCTTAGACTCTTGGATCTTTCTTTATCCAAGATAAACTAAAGTTCCATGGTCTCTTTGCATAAACGTGGCCCTGCTTCAAAAAAAGAAGAAGAAGAAGCTGCCAACAGCCACGGAAACCAAGTTTTAGAGCACTGCATTCTTCACCATTTGATTCTCTGGCTTTAAATAGCAGATCTTGTTTTTCACATGGAACAGGAGATAGATGGATAGACAGAAACTGCTCATGGATTTATAGAAAGCCCTGGAGGGATGAACCTCATAGGCACCTGCAGCCCAGGATGGGTGGAAAGGCTTATCTAAGCAAGGTTGCAAAGAGGAGGGGACTAGGAGGCCCCAATTCCTATTGCCCTGGTCACCTTGGAAGCCCATGGAGCCCAAGCAGATCATGTGATTCACTTTTTTGTGATGTTTAGGTTGGGTCTTAAGTGGCGTGATGGGAGGGCCCAGAGAGCGTCTGTGTCTAGGGGCCATTGGTAGCTCTGAGCAGCCCTGTATCTAGAAGGATGTGACCACAGAGTATGAATTATATCAGTGAATTGGACAAGAAAGAAGGTAAACTTTTGTGTGGATAGGATTATTTTGACTTTTTTGAGGCAAGAGGATACACTTGTAGGTCATTTTTTCCCCATGGGGGTGGCATTTAAAACTCAGCGGAAGGGGTATGGTATTTACAGAGCTTTTTTGGTAGAAAAAGCCCAGCAGGAACTTATTAGCATAATAGGCCACACCCAACAGCAGAGACGCATTAGCATATTAAGTCACACCCCTGACAGCACAGCTCATTAGCATATTAGGCCACACCCCACATGTTACCAGAAGTGTGGTCATCCAACCACACCCACCTTTTGCTTCTTATTCTGTTTACTTTGTTGTCAAAACCCTGGGCTTTTTTTGTAGCAGGAACTTCTTTGCATGTTAGGCTACACACCCCTAATGTAGCCAATCCTATGAGTTTATGCTGTTGGGTGTGGCCTATTATGCTAATGAGTACCTGCTGGGTGTGGCCAACTCAGGAGCCAGCTGGAACTCCGTTCCTGTGCGTTCCTGCCCAAAAATAGCCCTGGGTATTTATATAAAGAACATGGCAAATTGCAATTCGGTAATTTCTGGGGAAACTTTGTTGGGGGAGACCATCGAGGATGAACTCTTCATGCAGCAAAGAAATGGTAGTGTGTGGGCACAGATAAACCCACAAAACAGGGAGAACATGGGATGAAGGCCATCTTGATCAAGATGGTAGACTGAAGACTCTTGTGGCTTGAGGCCCTTGATGGCACAGAAGGTACAGATCAATCAGAAAGACTGGTTATGGGCAGCTCCAATGGGGAACCTATCTTCTCCATCAGTGATATGACCTACAAAAAGAGCCCTGGAATGTTTGAATTCAGTCAAATGGTGGGAAAGGCTCATCCTGGCTACTCTTTTGTGCCAGCTTTCCTGAGTTATAATGTCCTCTCTATGCTGTTATTAATTGTCGATCTACCATGTTCCTTCAACATAGTTGTTGCCAGTTGATTCTCAGTCGTTGGGATCCACCTGCGTTTCTTGCCATTTTATGGCAGTCTGTGCCTGAAGACTTTGCACAAGCGTGACGTTTTGTCGCAGCCTGTTCCATTGCTTTCTGCCCCTGCAACCTTCCCCTTGCTGCTTGGTCACAAACTTTCTTTTGATTCTATCATTCCTGATTTGCTCCATCATCTTTGTGCCACCCATCACATGCTCCTTTGTGCCTTTTTCTCGCTCTGGCTTTGCTAAGAAGAAGAAAGGGTTTTCTGTGAAGTAGGAATACTGTAGACAGGCAGGGTTTCTACTGACACTGCTTCCCTGGTGGTACAGATTGTACCTGCTGTGCTTATAAATCTTTGTCTTGCCAGGCAAGATCAGACCATTGTTCCACTTTACGTAGGAATTCAGTCTATCAACAGTGTCCAAGCAGGCAGCCTCACAGATGTTCAGAAGCAGAGCAGTATCCATGTTCTATTTAACCTCCAACGAATGACTGTTTGCAGAAATGAAAATTGCCTTTTTGGCAATCATGGCTTGTAGAGCCCTCCCCATTCCCACATCCTGTGACCAAAGGAACCTGAGGCTGTTGATGAATTCGATAAACAAGTAGTTCCGCTTATTAAAATTGTTACTGGACTAGAATGAAATTTGGGGAGCCTGCCAATGCAGTAATGCCGTAGCAGGTAAATAGAATAAATACAGGTAAGAGGCACAAAGATAAGTGTATGCAATTGCTGATGGAACTTTACATCTGGGTGGCTGACCTGGGGCAGCATGGATACCATAACTGGCAGCAGCAATTTTACAAGTAGATTTAAGGAGGTGTGGGAGGAAATTTGTTATTATATTTGCAACTTATTTGACTAACAGTGTCATTA